CTCCTCCCTCCTCCCTCTTCGCAAGTTCGACTCCGTCCTGTCGTCGCTCTTTGGCATGCGGTTAGCGTTGCGTATCTTGCGGCCGCACTCGCTCACTCTCACTCTCACTCTCTCACTGTCTCACTGTCTCTCTCATCTCTCTCATCTCTCTCATCTCTTTCTCATCTCTCTCATCTCTCTCTCCTCTCTCTCTCTCTCTCTCTCCTCTCTGTCTCTCGTCTTTCCGTCTCTCTTCTCTCTCTTCTCTCGCAGGAGGATCCGGGCAAAGAGCCACATATAAAGGACTCTTCACCCCTGCCTCCAAAAAGAGCGCCGTGTTTTTTCCTACCTCGCTGCCCTCCACTTTCCCATTCTGGAGCGCTAGCTTTCGCCCCCCCCCTTGGCCTCAAGTTTATATATTATGTTGTTTAACCCCACACTGTCGATGAGGGTTTGCTCGTACCCATGACCCACGTGTGTGAAATCGATACATGAGATTATAATTTATAGTATGCCACCTGCCATCGACTTTTCAGAACACTCATGGCATGTTGCCACCAAAGGTTGTAATTACTGATTTTATACCACTTCGCAGTTTAGGCCCTCCAAGACGTGTGTCAATAGACCGTGGAAGCTGAGGTGCTGCCTTTGGTTTCCGCCCTCCCACCGAGCGGATCATCCAGGACCAGGGTTTGGGGACTGGAAACTGGCTTTATGGAGACTTACAGGCATTCCCCACCCATTGGCAGCCCCGGAGTCTTGACATGGATGAGCTCAAGAAGTACTATTGTATATAACCCGCTACATCTTGTTTGATGCTGGTGGATGGGAAGAGCTTATGTTCTGCTACTTCAACCCTGAAAGATCTCAAAATTGGCCCAATAGCCTTCATTTTGGTTCAGCCAGCACTTCACAAAGCCAATGAACACATGCAAACATGCACACTCACGACACTCAAACCAAGTCCACAGTTCCTTGAGCACACCGAGATACAAGAACTGGCGGCCATGTCTCGATAGTATATTCGTCTTGGATGTGAACTAAAACTTCACTCAGGGGCGGCTACGGACCACGGATGCCCAGTGGATGGATGTCGATCGACCAGGACTTGGGTGTCCGCTTCGACCAGGTCCCCAGCTTTGCCAAAGGTCTTGAGGAGCGGGGCGCCAAACATCCGGGCCTGGTGAGTTGCGTGGGTAGATGACGCTTTGAAGATCTCCCTTAAGAACATGTACATGTAAAATCATGTAGATATGCATAACATTGCATAACTAAGTCTATACAGTATTACATTAGCTTTCTTTTTATATACCCTACGGACAGGCACATGGCGAGTTGCCGTTCTGGATGTGCCCAGTTCGCCCGGCAGCCCAGAAACAGATCATTCGCCCGTTCCGGCGCATGTGAGTTCCGGCGGGAAGCTGACAGTTGGCACCATCCTCAGCCATCCTTGACTCACTCCATGGCCAGGTTTAATGTTAAACTAAGCAGGAACTGAAAGAGTTTTCCCCTGCGCTCATGAGATCTCAAGTTACTTTTTGGCATTGCCTTTGCCATGCAGATGCCCTTTTTTTGACAGTACAATTGAACAGGTTTTGATAAGGCTGACCAGGTGGCAAAAGCCAACAGCCTGAACCACCGATCCACCATCCTTGGCACAGAGTTCTCCAAAAGGTGTCCATGTTCCCCAGTCAGCGTAAGAGAAGAAAGACAAATCAGCGCCTCTTTGAAGATGTTGATCATGTGAAAGTCATGACTGACAGTCTTGTGAACATGCAGTCTTTAAGTTTCAACAGCCTAACCGCCCCTGGAGAGAACATCGGGTTTGGCCCGTACAGAGTTCAGGTGTTGTCCCGGGAGAGCAGCCTTTGTCACTTGGCGGAGTGCCAACAGACTGCTTGAATGCACGGTCTTTGGATTTGTTTCAGCAAGGTGGTCGACCGGTCCACCCTTTGAACATCTTTGAACCACTTCACCTCTCAAAGACCTGTTTGGATCCAGGGTTTGCGCTGAGGTTTCCGCTGCCAGATGTGCCACACATCATGGATGTGGCCTGTTTCGGTGCTGTGCCCTGCGGAGATGAAGAGCTCTATCACAACAAGGGGATTGATCGATTGCGCCCTGTCGCGACGAGAGTGGACCAAGTGGATTTATTTTTGGGCTTCAACCTTGGGTTCCATGCTTGAAGGGCCAACAACCGTTGACACGAGCCAAGCAAGGGGTCAAGGGGTCCGTGTCAGGTAATATTGTTTGGCTCTAGATGGCTCTAGTGCAAATTAAAAGACCCACCAGAAAAAGGATTTCACCACTACGTCAATGGAATCCCATGGAATCTCCGTGCTCTTTCGAGTGGCAAGATCAATGAGGTTGGAAGAGTTTGATGGTCAGAAGGCGTTCTACTCCGATGTGACGTTCTCGAGGTGCCTGTGTTTGACCTATCATGGAGCCCTTGAGTGCCGAAATGCTAAGACTTTTGGTGTGTGCAAATGGGCCATTGATAGCAGATGACAGATGAGTATGGCTTCGCATTTTGTAGAAATGGCAGAAGAAAGGGCACTAAGGGACACCCCTTTCAAAAATGCAGAAATGCAAGGTCACACGCTCCCTCCAAAGACTGCCGTGTCTTTTCACACGTACCTTGAGAGAAGCCATGCCAGGGAATACCTCTACAAGAAGTACAACGGTGCAGAGTATGACCAGCTCAAAGCCAAGCTGGATCCCGACGGTGTTTTGTCCGGCCGCCCAATCAATGGAGCATGTAAAGAAACAATCAAAGTCAATTCAGCAACTTATATGTAATATGCAATTCTACAGTTTCTTACTGTAGGTTCATGGGAAACATATGTGCAATTACAGATCTAAGAATGCCAGCCAGTTCAATTGCTCCCCCAAAACAGGACATTGGGTGAGTATTCCAGGCAATTATATACTGTATATATATATATATATGCTGTAACTACTTTAGTTTAGTGGGATTGTCAGATGCGCTCCTTCCACGTGTAACCGCTCCTATTGGCCCTATCAGCTGTCCAGTGGTGATGGGTTTGTTGCCGGATGCGCCGCGTGGTTGCTGGTTGTGCTCAACATCGACTTGGGTCTAGAGTCCAGACACCCTCCACAGAGCCAAACTTCCTTTGCCGTAGATCTTTGAGGAAGAATCATCCCAAATCTCGGACCAAAGACCCAGCTCTACGACATCCTCATGTTCCTCATCTTCCTCGTCCCCTTCCTCGTCCTAGGCCGCATCTCTACGACAAGGTCTTGGCCGTGCCGGCGCCCTCCACACGCGGCTGAAAAAAGAGCGGCGACCGTCGACGTGTTTTGGGTTGCAGTCGACGGTAGCGTGCAGGTAGGGATGTCACACAGCCAGATACAACCTGTAGGATCTCTCGGAGCTGTGGTTTATGGTTGGAAGCTTGTTTCACTATGAGAGGGGAGAGCTCACGCCTGTCAACCAAGGCTTCTAACTTGGAGCCGCTGATAGAGAGACAGCGCCTGGAGACCTGACCGGGAGCAAGTTTTGTGTACAGTCTACCACTACAAGAATAAATCCGTCAGTTTCAGTAGTTCGATTCAGGTAGTGTATATGTTCACAACCAAGAGAGCTTTCAAATATGCTCCCCCCGTCAGTCCCAGAAATGCCAAAGGTGTTGTGTGCTGCAGATTGGAGGGCTATATATTGCTCTTGTGGTCACATACCCCCAAACAATCAATTTACCGAATTTACTTCGTTCAATGACATAGCGTCGACACAAATGATAAGTGATTCAACAAAAATTGCCAACAGCAAGAGCAGCGTGAGCAGGTGATTCAATTTGACAAACGAGAGAGAGAGAGAGAGAGAGACTGCATGCTGATTCTTCGGGGTCGTCAAGAGCACAGGTTGGTGAGAGCGACGCTTTTTTGAAAAACACTCAGCATCAAAGCTCCCCAAATCCCAGGCACCTTGAGGATGGGCCTGCAAGACTGTGGAGCGTGGCTCTTGAGCCTGGAGGTTTGGGGGTTCCAAGCTCACAAGCTGACCTGTGTCAAGCACCTCAATATAGGCTTCCTAGACTAGGCGTTTATTTTTGGAAGAATCAGGCGAGATGCTCCCTTCTCATTCGGAATGGTGAACCGCTTTAGGCCTGCATTGACATGGTTGCTCTTTGAGAGTCAGGCACTAGGCTGTGGGACCCATGCTGGCGCCAGGCCAGAAAAGTTCAAGCTGCAGAGGCTGAAGGCAGCGCAGTGTGGCTTGGCGAACTCCAAAAGGCTTTCCCACAGAGCGAGAAGAGGGCTTGGATCTCGTAAAGACTAGGATCACCTGTGACGTGGACGTGCACTTGATTTGTTGCCAAGCTTTTCCGGTTCTCATGTGGTGTTTCACAGCCAAAGGTGGTCTTGCACGGCCAAGGGACCCCATGTATAATGGGCCGTAGGGGTCCTCGGGCAGCCACTGGCCAGGTTCGCGCCAAGATTCACCCGAGTGGTGAGGCAAAGGGGCCTGGTGGGTTGGGGGAGGACATCCAAAGAAGAACGAGGATCATTTTAGCTGCACCTATGGGCCTTAAAAGATGATAAAGATGCAACATTCTTCCTTGAGTACATACACATACTTGCTGAATTTGATTTTGGGCATGCGTACACGGCTGGGTTTTGCTGGCCAGTTCAAGCTGTAGTCATTGTTTATGGTCGCTGGCCTTTGATTCACGCGCGCCAACAACTGCACCTGTTTCAGCCTCCGGATGCCGTCCCCGAGCCGATTGGGGCCACTGGACCTTTCGGACGGGAATTCCAAGCGGACAGTTGTACTGGTTGCTGTCACCATGTTCAGACACACCCATGTGTTGCTGAGGATACAGTATATGCTACTACTAAGTATGCCCTGCAACTGAACAGGTGGCCAGTTCGTTTAAGATAGGCGGATGATTTTGGTGCCAGGCTTGTATGCCAGGGCCAGGTGTTCATGATTTTCATGAGGAGGTCCGCAAAGTGTTTGCCTTAGGCGCTTGGAGCTTTCTGAGAAGGAGGTCCGTGCTTTTGAGTGCCTGGGAAGAGTTTAGGAAGTGCCTTCCTGTATAACTAGAGAGCAATTACAGTGGTTTCAGAGTATATGGCACAATTCTCCTGAGGTGGTTTAGGGTTGCACCCCCATCTAAAAGACATTTTTAGGTTTGTGTCATCTACTCTGAAACCACTGTAAGCCACAGTATGTTGAGTTTCTGAAGGGCTCCGGATTTCATACACCAGTAGCACTACCGCCGACAACCGGACCGTCTTTTTTTTGCACTGTATATATGTGCATTCGCTTTCAGGCCACCGCGCACCAACAGGGCTACAAGAGAGGTTATATATATATTATTATGTAATTGCACGAAAGAGAAGGCCTGTTCTCTAAGCCGGTTCAGATGCAATCCTACGTTTGAGTCAGGGCACCAATATAGGACAACCTCAAAGAATGAGATTTGCAGAGTCACCTGCCAAACCGACGGAAAGCCAATGACAATAATTGGGAATTGGGGATCATACTCGGTATACACCCCAAAGACGGAGAAAGACATACTGTAGAGACTGTAGAGAAAGAAAGGCACATTGCATGCTCGCTCTTTGTCCTCGCTCGATCATCCGCGATCTCGGTCACTGGGTGGGCAGGCTCGATCACCACTTTATCCCGAGGCACATTTTGGTGCTGCAGTGCCTGCCAGAGAAGCTCCGTGAGCTGAAAGGCTGTATGGAACTGACGGCTTATGCCAAGCTCAATCCCAGCCACTGGGGCGGTTCGTCGTTCCGGTCGATCCGGTGACCTCACGGTTTCCACCGGGGTCACGGGTTCGGTGGGATAGATGGACTTGGTTCATTTGCATTTGACGACTGTTGGTGCCTGAAGAAATGGACGGAACAGCAGATGAGCACGAAGGAAGACCAAACTCGCGACAGGCCTTTTAACTGGCTCCGTTCAGTTCAAGTTCTTTGTGTCCGCAACACCTTGCCGACTCATTCAACATGTTGGTGTCTCGCTCACTCCTCTCAATTTTATGGAATTAGCTCATATTATAGCTCTACATGCTGTGCGGATGCCATGGGCCTGCCTCTTGAACGACCATTCCGTCCGATTTGGCGATGAGTCATGTGTTTCTTCTCGCCCGTCCTGAGGCGAGTTCGTGCACTTCGCTTCAAAAAGCCGTGCTCACCTGAAGCAAGGCCGTGCTCACCTCGCATGTGTAGGAAAAACGCGCTCAATATACACTTAATGTACCGCAAGAAGATAAAGCTTAAAATTTGGTGTTATAGTTTTGAGACTTTTCCTGGCTTTGCGGGTTCTCCGAAAGCCTCCGCAGTCGCGAGGCATCATCACCGAAGTCTCGCTGGGCTACGCTGCCGATCCGGATAGGCGCAAGTGCAAAAGAGCACTCCTGAAGCCTGGAACGTCCTGGAGTCATGCGGGTTTGAACAGAGAAGAGCAGGTAGTCTTCCAAGATTCAGCTTCTTTTGACAGTCTCAGTTGAGATGTTTTCACTACTTAACTTGCTGTGAACCAAAGACCTCCCGCATCCTCCCGCAATGTTCCATTGTTCCACTTTCCTGGATGGGTGGCGTGAAGTCATTGGGTCCTGAGCTAAGCGAGGGCATCGATTTGTTTTGTATTGTTCCTGGCTGGTGGTGGTTCGCATGACATCCTGTTTGAATAGGTTGCGCAAGAAATGCCGGCAAAAGCAACACAAACAACATGACTCACCCATGCAACACATGCAAGCAACAGTCAGAGGTTTTGGTCTTTATTGGCGCTCCCGGAAACGCAGCACATGAGACACACACAAACAAACAAACAAACAGCGAAGGCCAACAACATGAGTCTCCCAAAAGCAAGCAAATACAGAACAATTATTCTGCATTTGACAAAGCAACTTCCGATTTTGCCATATTCAGCCTTAGGCCAAGTCAAACATTTGATCATCCTGCCGGATGTTTGATGTCCGTACCTCAATCTCCTTAGTGTAGCCACAGCCTTACTGGTATCTTTACATAGCTTTACCAGTAGCTTTACCATGTTTACCCTTAATGTCGACGTCGGATTAATCACCCCCCCTTTAAGGTCAACAAGGTCAACAAGGTTTCGGAGACCACATCCCCTTAATAAAGGTGATGACCTGATGATGGATGATGAGGTGATGATAAGATTAGGAAAGATTGAGATTGGGATCATTGGGGTGATTAGGAAAGAGTTGAAAGAGATTGAAAGAGACAATAGTTTTTTGATTGGGATATATTGGGATGATTAGGACAAGAAAGGGGGTTGCAGGATGAAAGAGATGGAAAACAAGATGGAGGCCAGAGGGTAGGTTTGATTAATAGGGGGGAGGGACCCCTACTATTAGAGGGTGTTAGGGCCTGTGTGAGAGGTACCTGTTGTGAGCTTGAACACCTTAGGATGTTGATAGAGTACAAATAAGGGAAAATGAAATAATTTTGCTAGCAAGTGTTTTGTTTTTTTTAGAGGGAAGGATGAGAAGAAAAGCAGGATGAGAAGCAGAAGGAGGATGAGAAGCAGTGGACCAGAAGATATTGGATACTGACCAAGAAGAAAGTAAATAAGTAATCATAGTTATAATAGTTGTAGTTGTAACTATCTTTCTGGGGCAGCTGGTGATGCAAATGTGGAATTCAAGTTTAAAATTAGTTCAGTATTGGCGGCTCAAGCTGGGCTTGATTAATGGGGGGGAGGTTACTCAATCCTATGTCAGCACTGTCCTCTCTTTGTGTCCTGTTGCGACGCCATTGGAGGCACTTGGAGGATGAGCCCTTGGGCCATGCCTTCTTCAGCCCGGAATCCGTGAAGGCCCTCACGGGCGCTGAGCTCTCGCCCACGGAGCGGAGCTGAGACGAGTGGTGTGGGCCTGGGCAGTTGGGCAGGTGATGTGGCAACTGGGTGGCTGCGGCATTGATTCGCAGGGTTTGCAGCAAACGTTGTCCCTGAACATTCCACACCCCAGGAGCGCCTGAAAGTGGATGAGGGTGCGCTGGCAGAAGTCCTAAGGGAAGAGGGCAAGGACGAGCTCGAGGCAGGCTGGCTGATGACACTCAAGGATTGTGTATGTAGATCAATCTTGATGGTGTTTGTACCAGTTCATCATGAGTTTGGAATGTTTGGAGGATGTATTTGACCAACTGATATCAATGATTGAAACGTGGGAAGTCCTTACTGGGCACCTCTTTGGATCAACCTGACCTTGAGGTGAGCCAGGGGGAGCCAGTGACCACGGCCCAGAAGCGGCCAAATGAGATAGAGGTCGAGAGCAACAAGAAGCTGAAGGTCGACCCTGAGCACCTGGGCGAAGAGCTCATGTGCACGCGGCACTTGTGGGGGGAATAGATGCTGCTAGGTAACAGGTGACCCGAATCACGAAGTAAGAGCCGTGAGGAGAACGAATCATAGTGAGTTGAATATATGTTTCATGGTCAGAAGTCTGGTTCCATGCTTTCGCCAACATCTCATGACCCCTCAAGACTTGCCCCTTGCCACCAGGCTCAGCCAGAAGCCACCGCCAGCGGAGGCTGTGCCGCCGGAGGCGCGATGAACCGCGCGTACCGTGAGCAGCCAGAAGAACCGACGAACCGATCAATGGGCGTGTGTGAGCACTCAAAGACTCACCGGACCAATGGGCTATGTTTTTTGTCAATTCAGTAATTCATTTGTGGGTTTCCCTAGTCCCTTGAAATGCATTCCCACAGGTGGTATTTGCGTTTGTGTTCATATTATGTGCTTTCGGTGGCAAGTCTCAGAACCTCAGGGTACCTCTTCATGAAGTGGGAGGTGGGGGGTCAACGTGGGATTGGCTGCATTGCGGGATTCGCACGCAGGAGGAGGATCATCCAGAGGCGGGCGGGCGCAGGTAGCGCATCGGTTGGTTTGGATGGTCGACCTTCAGCGGATGGATGGGCAACAGATGTGCGGACGTGTGCGTATGCAGTGCAAATGATTGTTTTATTGGCAGGCAAAGAAGCTCCTAAAGACCCAGAAGCATGCCAAAGTACTAGAAGCGAAGTTTTGGAGCCTGTGATTTCACAGTCATACATATATACATACATAATTGTACACAGTCCTTAATCACCTGTGCCAGGCTGCCAGGCTGACTTATTTCAGGGGACCTGTCACTGTCACCCTTTGAACCAATATGTTTGAAGCAAAAGTGTCGTAAATTAATCGAAACGCCGGGGGGGGGGGGTAGGTGGTGGTCACCCACATATATGACTACTGGGTTGGGGGTATCTCATGAGTTCATTTTTGAAAAGTCATGAAGTGAAGGGACCCCAGCGGCCAAAATATTGTTCCCTGATCAATTGAATCAGAATCAAGTAAGCACCGTTGAGGTCAAGGTTAGATATACTTAGAGGATATTAAATCTGCTTGAGGGACAAGGATCCATGAAATAATTTGCAGGAATGTTAAGATAAAACAGTGCATCCAAAGGATCTTGCATCAGTGCTACTGGGGGAGAAGGGCCATGTAAATAACTCGTATGCAGAGGTTGTTGACAGAATTTGGACCGTCAATTGGCATGTGCGCTATAGACGGACCATGACGGACCTATGTGAAGACCTGTGGGATTGCCGTTTGGCTGTTGTACTTAAATGCGGCGGGGTGGTTAGCATTTTTTACAGCAATTTAATCTTTCAGATTCTGAATTGAGCCTATGACCCTAGGATCCAGGGGACCATCCATCTCTTCTATAAGATCTGGAAGGTCAAAGACTTCTTATGTGTGCAGGGAAATCAGAAATGTTTGATTCTGCAATGGCTCAGCGATATTGTGTGCAAATTCTACAAGTTCAGTATACAGTATGACTATATGTTTAACTTGTACCGCCACACAAACTGACCAACACCTCCCAAGACAGAGCTGTTTGGGTGGCTCGGCTGCTTCGCATCTCTTCGCATCCGCTTGCTTTGGCTTCCGGAGCTGTGCAGCTTTCGATCCTCCGTGCCGCCGTGGCCGGAGGATTTGTTTGACATCATCAGCTCGGAGCGGCTGAGGGATGAGGAACGAGCAAGAGAAGCCGAGGAGAAGGACAGGTGTAGGACGGTGTGGCGCAGGTCAAGCGCAGACTCCTCGGGAAGACGGCGCAGGTCAAGCCCACGTCAACCAAACACCGAGCGAGGACGACGCACGTGTTTTCTTCCGGTTTCCTGAGGTAACTTGACATTGAATTGATATCAAGGCAACATGAAGTCATGAAGGTATATAATTACAATAATAGATCGTTGGAAAATTGACTGCCAACTGGATTAGGTAATATATAGTCACATAATATTTATATATATATATAGATATCGCGTGCTGCTGTCACGCAAGATCGCTCAGCAGGACGAAGACGTTCAAGAAGAGGTTGGGAAACTGACGGCGTACCTACCTTTTGTTTCAAAACATGCAGGCCCTACCTCAGACCTACATGGAAGACCAACTAATTGATGTCCAAAGACAGTTTCCCACTACTACTACAGCTGGCATATTGCTCGCCGTCAGCATTGGCTGGCATAGCGGGGGGGACAGTGATGAACATAGGAAGAAATGGCCTTCTGTGTTGGCGAGAGGGAGGGAGGTACTGCTTTGTACTATTTTTTGTGTTTATATATGTACCCATTCCCCCCCGGTTCCTAGGCCAAAGTTTCCTCCTTCGGATGTCCACATAAGGACCAGCCTGCTCCAGGATTGAACGCCCACGGCCATCGTCGGGTCGATCCGTGGCCGTCGAGGTCGTCGTCAGAGTGGCCGAGCAATCTCTCAGGTACAAAACGGACCTGGAATACTTGGTGGACGCCGTGGAGTTGGTCTCCCGGAAGGGCCGCTTGTACCAGGCCGAAGGGGAAGACGTGAGTGAAGGTGCGGTCGTTCTTGGAAAGCCATGTGCTTTTGGAACGGGGGATCGTAGCCTGGAATTCCTCGCGTTAGAATCTAACTGTTGTTTGTTAGAATTTAATTATGTCTAGGATGTTTTTGGTTATTTGTTTGATCACCTACTGTGATCATGCGAGGGTGCAAGATGACAAAGGTCAAGTTCTTCAGTCAAGTTGATTGTATCATATCCTTGTTGCTGAGGTGTTCAACTGTGTTCATTTTTTTGTGCATACAGGATCATAAAGATAATTCAGCTCAGAAGGGTTTCTTGTTATGATCCGTGATCAACTGTCCATTCAATCTGACATTCAATCTGATGTAAATTCTGTGCTCACGAGGTAAAGCAGAAATTGGAAGAAAAGAAAAGCTCAATTGATGAGGATGAGCAGGAGGAGCCGCTGGCAGATGCTTCATGACAAGTGTTACAAGTTTAGCGCAAGTCTTGTGTGCACAATCATCGCTATCATTTCTGTTATTGCTTTGAATGTTTGTTTCCTTAATCAGGATGGGGTCAATAATATTAGGATTGCTTTCCCATTGAAACCGAGTTAGTTGAGTTCAAGCCAGCCCGAGTATTTGCAGCAGTTTTGGTATGCTTTGACAGCTTAGGCAAGCTTGGGCATATGTTGACGAATGTCCGCACATGTCCCGGCACGCAACCTCGCAAATTCAAATCCACATGCAGCTGTCCAGTCCCTGCTCAATGGAAACAGCTTTTGCTGAGAAGCTTGTCCTGTTCGACCCACCGGGACGGTGTCCATATTGAAGCGCTAGGTAGCTCCCTCCCTCAATCTGTGTCAGGTCAACTACCACCAACTAACTTTGGGATTGGGACAGGCACCCTGGGCTGAGCACAGTGGAAGCATTCTTCATGCAAGATCGATGCGTTGCAATGTCAAAATTACAAAGCCACCCCGGAGTAAAACAAATAGTACGTACACAGCATATACATAGATGTAAACATAACTAAATATATATATATACATACATTAATAAAATCAGTTAACTTGTTGTTTCGTTTTTTTGTGTCTTGTTGTGAAGTGGCAGACGACAAGGAACTACCAGGAACACTTGACAACAAGGCACCTCCTGTCCTCGAAACCGCAAGCAGCACACCACAAGCAACACTGACATGCCTGTGACAGAGCTGTATAGCTGCAGCTGTATTGGCCATCACCGAGTGCCACCAGGACACCTATCCCAGCTATCCAGAACCTCCCTGGCCGCGTCGCAGCGACGCGGGACGGGAGCGGAGGAAGGCCAGTCACCGGAGGAAGGAAGCTGGAACAACTTTAGGATTATGATTTTTTGTGTTTACATATACTGTATATCACATGTTTATGTCTTTATATGTATCTATCTATATATATATATATACACAAATAGTTTTACAGAGTTCATGTTTTGGAATGTTTTGTGGAGTTGCTTGTGCAGAAGATGGAAGTGTTGTATATTATATAATGATGGAAGATATTAAAGTCGTTTTCAGGAGAGAGAGAGGGAGACAGACAAGTAAAGAGTCCAGTTCCGTTGCTTTTTTTGTTCATCCGCATCCCATTGTCTAATTAGTCTTGTGACTTGTGGCAGCCGTTTGGACATGTTTGGACATTTTCCTCAAAGACTCATAAGTTAGTTCATAAGCTTGCTTGCATGCTTAGCTGCTTCGGGCTAACCCTTGCATACCACCTTTCTCCTTCTTGTCAGTGTTGTGTCCTCTTGCAATTTGCAGGTTGGGTGTGGCAGCTCTTGAAACGGGTGCCGCCGCTTGTTGCGTTGGCAGCCCTCAAGGTTTTTGTTTTTGTTGCGCCTTTACACGGGGCGGTTGGGGTGGGTGGGGGGTGAAAGAGCGGCTGCCGTGTATGTGCTGTGGAGTGCAGGCTAGCAGTGGGCAAGTCTATGTCCCTTGGGTCCCTTGGGTCCCTTGAGCCTTGAGGAATCAAAATGCGTACTGCGCTGAGATAGCCCAACAACGGACCCACATGGGGCAGGGGCTGGGGCTGCGGCAAAAATAACGTCGATGTCTCATGTTTGCGGATACATGGTCCAGTCTTTTGAAAGCCAGCCGGACGGTTCGTAGGGTGCGTGCGTACGAAACAGGTGATTGTTTTGGTTTGTTGTTCTCACCTTAGGGTAATGAAGTTCGAGCATGTAGCTGTGGTGTGTGTGTGGTGTGTGTGTGTGTTTGAATCAGTGTGGTTTACCACACACACATCCTTTTTTATGTGTTTTTTTCCCGCATACGTATATCAAGGCCAGTTCAGGAGACTCACCGCACAGTCTTTGTACAGTGCAATCGGTTCTTGCAGCTCCCGAAAGCGCCCGCCCGGCGGCTCTACATGTTTTTTGCAGCCCAAGTGGTTGGTTTGTAGTGCAGGCTGCTAGGGCGCCAGCCTATGTTCGTTCAAGCAAGCCTAAATGTTTTGGTGGGAGGTCTGGGCTGCTGGGGGGCATTGGCTTGGAGCTGCTGCCGTGCTGCAAGATGTGCCCAAAGATAGTGGTGTGCCAAGTGGACGTCCCCCTCCACTTGGCACGTTTTACGGCGGAAACCTATATAATGTCATATACATCCAGGTCACGCAATGGATTGATCAGACACGTCTACACTGAGAGGCCTTGTATAGACTCACCGCTTTCCTCCGCCTCGACACACCGAAGCTGCTTCGGGCCGAGCGCCAGGCCCGCGAACTGGAAGGTCAGGTGAAACAGCTGAACCGGAAGATGCAGGAGCGCAAACCTGCCCAAACCCTGCGAAACGGATCAAAGGATGAATTGATGTTTGAACTTTTCAAGCACGGTTGGACGGAGCATTGAGTTGATGGTGACAGCTGACGAAGAGCACAATGCGACACGGTGACGCTTGCGAGGTTGAAACCTCGCGGTTCGGCCGTTGTTGAAACCGCTGGACAGATGCTGGAGGGAAAGGTTTTTTGCTGACCGTCACCAGCGCGATCAGGAGCGGATGCGCTTGACCAAGCTGAGCCCGTCTGCTTGGATTCCTCGCTTGGAGCGGATCTTGTCCTCCAGGTGGGCCATGTTGCATTAGCATTTGTGAAATGGATTGAAATGGGAAGGACCAGATGGACAGCACCAAAAATGCATCAGCTTGGTTGAGGTCAAGTGGTGGTCCCAATGGGTCCCAATGGTTGAGACAGCCTTCTTCTTGAGTGTTGTCATTTTGGGTGAGGCCATGTTGGCGTAGAGACGTCCAAAACCGAACCTGCCCGTGAGGCAAATGAACGAGTTCGAGAAGGAGGTAGTAACTTGGACCAACGAAGAATTCGATCAGATGGACAACCTTGCCAAGCAACATAACCTGAAAGAATCATGTCACCTTGAAGGTGAAGCTACTAGGGGCTCCTGGCATCGCTACTAGGAGCAAGGACGCTACTAGGGGCTCCTGGCCTTACTACTAGGAACAAGAGGCTACTAGTAGCAAAGGGCATTTCTACTAGTAACAAGGACGCTACTATAGTAACTGAAGGGGTCCAAGTTTGAACAGGATGTGATTCAGCTACTATTTTGTCATGCTTTCCAAAGTGCTGTATGGCCAACATGTCTCTGGTCTATGTCCTAAGTCGTTTTGTAGCTCTTCAGAGGAACTCGGTTGAATCAGACTCGCTGATTCCCATTGAGGTTTTTTTTGATGTTCAGGTCTCAAGCTAAGACATGCTAAGACCTGCTAAGACCAGAGATTGCTTTTTACTACCTTTTGCCATTGGTTGGTTGGCTAGTAGAGCGGATACCCCCAAGTAAGTAACCATATATGTTACCAGATCGACTTCTTGCCAAATAAGGAAATCAATGGCTGGCTGAGGCATGCCGAGACTGAAACCCGATCACCTTCAGGTGGCCGTTTCCACCAGGTGTTTTTGCTATTCTGTCTCAACCGAGGGTAATGAGGCGCTGCTGCGGTTTCCACTCATTTGCTACCTAAACCTGTGTATTCTCTTGAGACTGTTGCTGCCCAAATAGGTTCCCTGAGCACCTGAAATGATTTAGAATCAGCGTTTGCCCACTTCAATGCCGCTCCAAAGGGGAAACATGTACCACCACATCCCCCCCCAAAAATGCGGGTTCCCCACAACATTACAGTCGACCTCGTGTGACAGACACGTGTGGCGCAGTGATCCTCGTGTGTCTCAGTTGGTTGGTGGACCACGCATGGCACCATTGATCCAGATGGCACCTGTTGAAATCTAAACGCGTCTGGCAGCAATCCACACAAGGATTTAGAGGCCTTTTCGTTGAGCTTTGTCCAGGGAAAAGGCATTGAAATGAACGAGGCTGCTAAACACTATGAACATGTTGAACTCACCAAGACTGGATCATTTCACTTAGGTGATCCTCTTGGTGGGCCTCATCCTGTTACCCCATCGCTTCCTACAGCGTGGTGCTGGGATGTATCACTGCCGTGGCGAGCCCATCGATGTGGCTACGGTGCTGGCGCTGCTGTCGCCGGACCTAGCGAGTCAAATCGCCAACCGGAAGTCCTTCTACAAGGCGAGGTGTTCTTCTCACCAGATGCGAACAAAAAGAGGAGTTGGGGAGGTGGTGAGGTGGTGGGCGCCTGGTGGTTTGGATGTGGTTCTTGCATGGTGGAGCTGGGGTTTCAAGGGATTCAAGGGATTCAAGGAAACTTGAGCAAGTTCGTCTAGAAAGACGTCAGTAACATGCAGTAACTGAATGTTCCTGACCACGTGCTGTAGATACCAAATACCCTTCTAGTGGTGAACCCAATCGAAGTCTCCACGCCGATCCGATCCGCGCTGCCAGGACTCGGTCCTCGTGAGGGATCACATCATCCACGTGAGCACGAAAGGAGTGCATGGAGACCTCTCGTCTTGTCCTGTGACTTGTCCTGTTCTACATGGCCATGCCCAGGAACAAAAAGGAAATGCTAAAGTTAAAGGTGTCCCAGGCCCAGGGTCCCAGATTTTTGGCATGCCAGCGCAAACATGCACAAGGCTCATTGTCATCTATTTTCGCCCACCCGTTCAACACGGCCGGAACACACCAAACGCAGCGGGTGGAGGTGGAGATCGATCGGCGCATGGTGGACTTCATTGTCGGCTTGGACAGCGAGGTTCATCAGCTGGTGGTGCCTTTGGCCAGAAAGCTGTCCATCACCCGCTTCGAACGATCCCATCACTCCCGTCACTGTTTGATCCCATGTCACTTGTCGGTGGTGATTATGATGGAGGGTGAAAAGCAGCTTAATCGTGGCTGACTGTGCTTGCTGGTGGTTGATGATGGGTGAGATCGATTCAATCAACGTGGCCCACAAAGCAACACAAGCTCTTCCAGTGTGTTCTGTGATGGCTGTGTAAATGTTGAGATCCTTTTGGCTCGTGTTGCTTTTGGTTTGCACTGAGGATGGAAGTCACTTGTATCTACCACAGCCACTTGCAGCATCAAAATCAGGGAATCAAAGACATAACTGGGCTGGATAAACTAAGCAGAGGGTCATACTAGAGGTCCAAACGCATTGCAGTGTTACTCACAGCATTTGACAGACATTTTTTTTAAATCAATGGTTTGCTTCCCAGATGAGATTCCCAGGACAAAGATGGAGTCTGTGGTCCTGCCAGAAGAGACCAAGACATTGATTACCAAAACGGTTCAAAGCTTGTCTCTCTTCAAGCACCTTGCCTTGACATGGCCCAAACGACTTTTGCATCACCACCTGAAACTTGTGATGTGTGCTTCTCCTCACTCGACCTCGCCCAGCTGGGCCTTCCGTGCTGGTGCTGTTTTCCAGACCAACACATGTTCGGGTGCTTCAAAGGATTTCAAAGGCGTGATAAGCCTCAATCATGTTCGCATTGACTTTCTTTGCCTGGCTGTTTGAAGTCCAGTACAAGTCGCCACCTTGCTGTGGTGAGGAAAAGCAAGCAGCAGTTCAAACTGGATGAAACCATCAGCTCCAGTGGATTGGTGATGCTCTTTTACGGCGACTCAGGTGGAGAACCGAAGGTGTTTCATGACTTGGTGAACCGAGGGCGGCATGGTCACAGGTTTGTACCTCCCAGTGTGCTAGAAGTTACTGTAATCAAGTGGTCTCACACCGGCAGACCGCCCTCGAGAGGAAGCAAGAGTTGCTTTCCTCAAGCGTGAATCACCAGAGTCGGTGTTGCTCCGAAAACGTTGGTGGTGAAACGCTTCCCCTGCGGCACAGGGACAGGGAAAACCATGACGGCGAATGCCATTGCGAACCTCCTTGGAAAGAAGCTGCTGCTCATCAATTTTCCTTCTCTTGGTGGGGAGCAGGTCGGGGTCGACAGATGCTCCTGGACATGGCAGACATGATGGGATGATATGGGATGTGCAATGAGTTTTCAAAATCCTTCAAGCGGGAACTGTTAAACTGTTAATTTGGGACGCGTGTTTTCCATCGCCCGGGCCAGGAAAGTTTAAAGCTTGGGTCGCTTGTTGGTCAAGATCTTTTGAACCCTTTCAGGCAATCTTTGACATTTCTTGGGGGGGCACCTCCATTTATCGCAGGCTCTTCAAGGTGAGGTGCTCACTCCCGGGCAAATTTTGACAGCCATCAGCCATCCAACCAGCCACCCATCCATGACATCCACACTATGTCACAGCATTTCATCCCCCATGTTTCGAGCGCTTTTCGAGCGGGGTCCGTCCCCACACCAGAGCGCTTTGGAGAGAGGCCGCCGGCTTCATCCGGATGATCTTCCGGGAGTCGAAGATCAATGACGCCGTGCCGACACCGGCGAATGGACGGGAGGATCCGATGGGAGGAACCACGTCCGCCTACTGTAGCGAATGGGCGGATGGCGGCTAGCTGTGATAGACCATACTACTCGTATAGAAGTTACTCAGCCATCCTGTGAGAAGTAAACACCTACTGGTATACGTGACTATATATGTAGAATTGTATTAATCTGTTGCTCTTCGGGAGAACATTGCGCTTGGGTTCCACTTAACCAAACACATATATCAGGTTCCCGTCAAAGGCTTTTTCCAAAGCAAGTTCCGAACTTGGCAAGGCTTGGCCGCTGGTCATGTTCGACTGTCAAACGAGTTGAATGGCGTTGGCATAGGGGGAAGCATGTATATTTAAGCAATATATATATAATTATATAAATAACATACTATAACTATTCAAAAGGATGGCAAAACAAGCGTTGAATAGGGCGATTGACATTTGATTGGTCTAAAACTAAAACCACTCGGATCGTCAACAGCCCTTAAAGGACTCCTATTGGTTTTGCGGAGAAAGCGTGGGCTCCTCCATAAACCCAGGTCCTCCAGTGAACCGTCGAGCAGTCACATGCAGGTCCTCCAGTGAACCGTCGCACATTCGTCATGGCATGGCCCCTTGGAGGAGCCATGGCCCCTTCAAACAATGGTTTTTTTTCCCGCTTCCACGAGGATTTCAGGGAGTGTCATTCTTGCGGGGTCCTTATACATTCCAATTTTCCATGGCCTTCCAAAGAGACATTGCACAGACAAGGATCCGTACTGCAAATTCGGACCCAGGTCTTGTTCTTCGACGAGTGTGAATCCATCTTTGAGTCTCGGGATAAATCCAACCAGAGGGATGTGAACATGCTCCTGACTGAGTTAGAGCGGCATGACGGCCACTTGGATTTACATGGGACACTGTGGCTGAAGACATCAACCTCATCACGGTGTAGAACGTGGTTGGGGCAAGAAAGGGGACGAAAAAGATCGGGTGTTAAGGAGGCAGGAATGAGTTGGTACGGCTCGCCGGTACAACTAGACAACTTAACTTCATCAACCTGAGAAGTGTCAGACAGTATGACTTATTGTCCAAAGCTTGTTGTTTGGGTCGGCAACTAACGTTTGCTAGACCCGACAGATGCCAGTACGTCCATGAGAAACACGCCCTACGTAGATGACGCTCTCAGGCAGCGTCGGTTTCCTGAATCAACAACCTGCTAATACACCTGACAACTACAACATATGGATACATAATTATGGACATGTGCATGTCGGCTGCGATACTCACCACCCAGGCGAAATAGTAGATCAACGACAGTGTGGGACCCCCCCGGCCGGCGTGAAATCATTTGACTGCAATGCATTTCTATGATTCATTGTGATTCTAGATTTGGAGATGTCTTTAGGGGTCAATGTAGTTAAATATGTTAAATACATTTAGATACTGTTAAAACATATTCCATACATACATGTTATGTATAATGTATTTATGTAATTGTATTTCTATTGACATTATTGACTTGATTCATCTTGATTTGGTGATGCCATTTCAGATCACAAGTCCTGGTCAGAAGACCATGTTCAGATCCTGGACGACCTAAGACGACCTGATCTCCGCAGGGTTGGAGGTCCTAAATCGATGATTTTCGAAGAAGATCTCTTTAAAACCTTATGTTGACAACATTCCCACTGGCATCGGCCTTTTGTCATACCTTATGACAACATTCATCAACACCACTCCAGCATGGCCTGGCTCCCCAGTTCGAGGCATGATCATCTTGGCCACGAATCGGCCCTTCGACCTGGACGAGGCGATGCATCGCCGGATCACCTTGGCCATCGAGTTCCAAAAACCGGACTCTTGGTTTGCCGCCCGGAGCGGCGGCTTCGTCGATTCGATCCGGGCTAGGAACCGATATATATATATGCATAATATATCATGTGATGTATGCTTAATTCATGTCATTAAATATTAATTTATATAGTTTGGTAGTGCTGCACTTGCTTTTGTTCGTACTTTGCCCCCAAGAGACTTCGTTCGTGGGCGGGACTGGTACATGCGGTGCGGTGCCCGGGCCATTAGGACCACGTGTTGCGCAAGCACATTTGGAGCTCCCTGATTCCAGCGGCTTTGCCCCTGTCCGGCGACGTGGACCTGAGCGCCTTGGCCATGCGCTACGAGCTGTCGGGGGGCTTCATCAAGTGTCTTGGACCAGAGAGCGGCTGAAAACAGAGAGATGAATCAGACAAGGGACGGACACGGCGAATGGAAGTGGGTTGATTTTGGGTGTCATCCCGGATGTCGAGGGTTGCGCTTTAGTCGTGTGTCCGCAAGTCGTGTTACCACACGTGTATGGCGGTTTCGGAGTCTTCACTAGGTGATGGGACATGCATGTAGGTCACTGGGTCACAATATTCTGAAACCGGCAATTGGGCTGTGGAATCTCCTTGACCCAGAATTAGCCCAATAGGTCCTTTTCGTAATTTCCCGGTGATACCTCTCCCTTGTAAGGACTTGGCAAAATAATGCATCGTTCCCCTAGGACCTAAGGACCTAGGAGCCTCTAGTTATTTTTTCAGCCATTCTATGGGGAGGGATGTCAAACTCCTTGTCTTCAGAAATAATTCCGCTTACCAGGCTTGTCAATCAAGGGGCAGGTGTAAAACCAAGTCGACAATGTTGGCACTGCTTTGGATTGCTCTGGCGGACTCTGTGATTTGACTGGACGTTTGTGTTTTGATCCTTCATGATGTTTGACATTGTGCCGGCTGTTCATGGCTCACACGAGGAATGCAATATTGACAGCCTTGAGCATAGCGTGTTCCCGAGCGCAAGAAACCAACCAATCGGGTAAGCCTGACATTTGCATCACACAGGACTGGGCCGACTTCAACAGTGATTCAACTCTCTAATTAAGGGTAAACTGACTGTACTCGCAAGATCTCGCAAGTATCGAATCCAATCGATCTTCAGTATTTTGCGTCAGACTTTCCCAGACCACGGAATCTAGTTGCACCGGCCTCGTTGATGGTGAAGGGGTATGTAGCACAACTCCAAGTGCAGCACCAAAGAGCATATTGCACCAGCACACCCACCTACTGGTCACCGGCTGTAGTGTGAGGCATGCATGAAGGCATACGAGTTTTGCACCCCATGTTGGAACCTGTTTACTGTATACCCCCGAGAAGCGGTGGGCTCAACACGAAAGCCACAGGAAGACGAACGAGGGAGTCAATTTTTCAGGATGTCCCAGGTAACTTTTCGAAGCCCTTTGTGAGCAAGTCACAGGTCGGCACCACGCTTGCCAGACTTCCCGGCGACCGGCGACCCGCCCGAACTCGGCCAGGACGATCTGGCACGGGGTGCCCAGCTGCAGCTGCGAGGCCGCTTGGCCATGCGCAGCTTCGAGCGGCGCATTGTGCCGCGGAGCGGGTTGGAAGTCTTGGCGACTCGGACCCGGCTGGGGGGATGTGATGGTGAGTGTTTTTTGTTTTTTGTGGAGTTCTTCGTATGAACTGGAATCAGTTCACTATGGGTCCAAGCAAGGGGGTAAATGTGTATGGGCGGGAGGAAGAAGTTGCGGCTCAGTGACTGGCTCCAGAGGGCGACCACTGGTTATACTCTTATACTGATGAGTCCTATGATGGTGCTGTACCTGTTGGAGAGCACCATGCGCTCGAAGCCCAGAAACTGGTTACGTAATTAATTCCCCAATAGCCATGCTATGGGGTCTTGCAAAACTAATAGGCGGACGGGCGCCGTCGGGTCACCGTCAGAGCTGGTGGGCGGATGGTGTCCCGGTCATGTTTTGATGGCGTCCGGGTCATGTGACGGTGTCCCGGTCATGTTGTGATGGTGTCCCG